ACCAAAAATTAAGGTAACCAAGGCGTTCATAAACCGAGGTATGCCTGTATTTAAAGTGCCTGAAAACCTGGAGTTAGGCTTTAAAAGGCCACACCTAGATAATGTTTTTCTAGGATTTATAATCTGAATGGTAAATGGTTCAAATATGAAGAGTTTGGGGTTAAAGTACGATTTCATTCCAACAACTCCAACACAAATATCCTTCCTTCGAACGAGAATTTTACTTACTTACGAATACAACACTGCCTAAAAAGCAATAAGATTTCCCATATCACAGAACTACCCACCCTATCATTCCAATTTTTGAATAACACCAAATATCCCAGTAAAGGAATCTCCCTGTTCTACACAATCATGCTGGATTCAAAATTCTCTTTAAAAACCACATCATTGACGAATTGGGAGTCATTACTATTACAAAAGATCTCTGACCAGAGATGGAATAAAGCATTCACCATCACATACATAGTTACATAGTTAGTCTGGCTAAAAAAAGACAAAAGTCCATCCAGTTCAGCCATAGAAAAAAAAGTTATATTCCTATACCCACAGTTGATCCAAAGGAAGTAAAAAAAACCCAGCAAAGCATGATCCAATTTGCTCCTGCAGGGAAAAAAATTCCTTCCTCATCCCCCGAGAGGCAATCGGATATTACCAGCATCAACTTTACCTATAAATGTTAGTATCCAGTTATATTCTGTGTATCTAAGAAATAATCCAGGACTTTTTTGAAGCAATCCACTGAGCTGGCCAGAACCAACTCTTGAGGGAGTCTATTCCACATTTTCACAGCTCTCACTGTGAAGAAACCTTTCCGTGTTTGGAGATTAAATCTCTTTTCCTCCAGATGTAAAGAGTGCCCCCTTGTCCTCTGTGATTACCTCAGGGGGAATAGCTCTACACCGAGGTCACTATATGAACCATTGATGTATTTATACATGGAGATCATATCCCCCTTATGTATTATACATGGTGATCATATCCCCCTTATGTATTATACATGGAGATCATATCCCCCCTTATGTATTATACATGGTGATCATATCCCCCCTTATGTATTATACATGGTGATCATATCCCCCTTATGTATTATACATGGAGATCATACCCCCCCTTATGTATTATACATGGTGATCATATCCCCCCTTATGTATTATACATGGTGATCATATCCCCCCTTATGTATTATACATGGTGATCATATCCCCCCTTATGTATTATACATGGAGATCATATCCCCCCTTATGTATTATACATGGAGATCATATCCCCCCTTATGTATTATACATGGAGATCATATCCCCCCTTATGTATTATACATGGAGATCATATCCCCCCTTATGTATTATACATGGAGATCATATCCCCCCCCCATGTATTATACATGGTGATCATATCCCCTCTTATGTATTATACATGGAGATCATATCCCCCCTTATGTATTATACACGGAGACCATATCCCCCCCCCCTTATGTATTATACATGGAGATCATATCCCCCCCTTATGTATTATACATGGAGATCATACCCCCCTTATGTATTATACATGGTGATCATATCCCCCCTTATGTATTATACATGGAGATCATATCCCCCCTTATGTATTATACATGGTGATCATATCCCCCCTTATGTATTATACATGGAGATCATATCCCCCCCCATGTATTATACATGGTGATCATATCCCCTCTTATGTATTATACATGGAGATCATATCCCCCTTATGTATTATACATGGTGATCATATCCCCCCTTATGTATTATACATGGAGATCATATCCCCCCTTATGTATTATACATGGAGATCATATCCCCCCCCCCCATGTATTATACATGGTGATCATATCCCCTCTTATGTATTATACATGGAGATCATATCCCCCCTTATGTATTATACACGGAGACCATATCCCCCCCCCCTTATGTATTATACATGGAGATCATACCCCCCCTTATGTATTATACATGGTGATCATATCCCCCCTTATGTATTATACATGGAGATCATATCCCCCCTTATGTATTATACATGGAGATCATATCCCCCCTTATGTATTATACATGGTGATCATATCCCCCCCCTTATGTATTATACATGGAGATCATATCCCCCCTTAATCTCCTCTTCTCAAGAGAGAATAAATTCAGTTTCTCTAATCTTTCCTCATAGCTGAGCTCCTCCATGCCTCTTATCAGTTTGGTTGCCCTTCTCTGTACTTTCTCCAGTTCCCCAATGTTCTTTTTGTGAATTGGTGCCCAAAACTGAACTGTATATTCCAGATGAGGTCTTACTAATGATTTGTACTGTCATTGGGGAATGATATCTCTCTCTCTGGAGTCTATACCTCTTTTAATACAAGAAAGGATTTTGCTCTCTTTAGAACCTGCAGCTTGGCATTGCATGCCATTATTAAGCTTGTGATCTACCAGAACCCCCAGATCCTTCTCCACCATTGATTCCGCCAGTTGTACCCCCCCCCCCCCCAGTATGTATGATGCATGCATATTCTTAGCCCCCAAGTGCAGAACCTTAAATTTATCAACATTATCCTCATTTGCCACATAGTTACCCAATTAAACAGAGCATTGAGGTCGGCTTGTAAATTGAAGACATCCTGTAAGGACGTTATTCCACTGCACAGCTTGGTGTCATCTGCAAAGACTGAAATGGGATTTTCAATCTCAAACCCTATATCGTTTATAAATATATTAAAATGTAAGGGTCCCAACACTGAACCTTGGGGTACACCACTGATGACCCCTGACCATTCAGAGTATGGATCATTAATCACTACTCTCTGAATACCATCTTTTAGCCAGTTTTCTATCCATTTACATACAGATTTTTCCAAGCCCGTAGACTTTACATTAGCCGTGTGTGCGGAACTGTGTCAAATGGTTTTGCAAAATCCAAGTACACCATGTCCACCGCCACCCCTCTGTTCATGGTTTTGCTCACCTCCTCATAAAAAGAAATCAGATTTGTTTGACAATTTCTGTCTTTCATTAATCCATGCTGTCTGTTTCTTAAAATATTTTTTTCCAGCAAGAACTCATCTATGTGGTCTGTTATTAAACTCTCCAGTATCTTCCCAACTATAGAAGTTAAACTAACAGGTCTATAATTACTTGGTAAAGACTTTTACCCCTTTTTAAATATTGGCACCACATTGGCCTTACGCCAATCCAGTGGTACTATGCCATTCATTAAAGAGTCCCTAAAAATTAGAACCAATGGCTTTAATTCTTTAAGGACCCGTGGGTGTATGCCATCTGGTCCAAGTGCTTTATTCAGCTTTATACTGTCTAAATATTTTTGGATCTTATCAATTGTGAGCCAATGTGGATCACCTGGAGCTGTGTCAATACCATGCCCATTATGGTTTGATTTTTAGCCTTTTAAACTTCTTGCCAATGGGAATATATTTTGCAGTGTGTTCACATACAGTCTTTTTGAAGAACTCCCATTTCTGTGTTGTATTCATCAATGCCAATATTCCCTCCCAGTCTAAGTCTTGGAGAGCAGCTCTCAGCCTTGGAAAATTAGCTCTCTTGAAATTGAACGTTTTTATTTTTCCCGTATGTGCTCGCTGTTTACAGCTAACAATAAATGAAATCATATTATGGTCACTGCTACCCAGATGTTCTTTTATATGGACATTTGTCATACGCTCTGCATGGTTTGAGATTATCAGGTCCAGCAGAGCATCATTCCTAGTAGGGGCCTCTATGAACTGTACCATAAAATTGTCCTGTAGTAGGTTTAAAAATGTTTGCCCTTTAAATGTTCCTGCAGTACCATTACTCCAATCAATTTTCGGGTAGTTAAAATCCTCCGTTATTGTCACTGTCCCAGCCCTTGAAGCCCTTTTGATCTGTGCAAGGAGCTGAGTCTCCACCTCCTCATTAACACTAGGAGGCTTATAACAAACTTCAATGATTACCTTTGTAGTACGCACCCCCATGTGCAGTTCCACCCATAATGCTTCAGCCTCATCACACTCTCTATCAGCTATGTCCTCTTTCACACTCACTCTGAGATCACTTCTCACATAGATACAGACACCACCACCTTTCCTATTACTCTGTCTCTCTGAAAGAGAACATAGCCAGGAATATTAATGGCCCAGTCATGTGAAGAATGAAGCCAAGATTCAGCAATGCCAATTAAATCATAGTTCTCTTCATACAACAAAGCTTCCAACTCACTTATTTTGCTTGGCAGACTTCTGGCATTGGTGAACAAACACTTTAATTGATTGACACCTTGTTCACATGTATTTTACATATTTTTTATTTTCATACAAATAGTACCAATTTCACTGGTTGTCTCTAACATGGGAACCTTCTTATCATCTGCCATAGCCTTCCCCCCATCTTTCTCCATTCCACCCACCAATAAGTACTGACCCCTGTCAAAGCCTCCAGATGCGCTATGCACTGGGAATCCTATCTTAACCTCCCTAGCGGTCTGATTATGTCCATATTTCTGTGCTCAAAGCGGTACATTTTTTTGCATGGAAATATATATTTTTTTTATTGTAGGCCTGTAATTTTTAGGAATAACTCACTGAAATACTGAAATTTGTCCGAACAAGAGTCTAGTAAACATCCCGGGTATGTTACAGTTTGAAACACAAAATCATAAATTATAATTTAATAAATAATCATAAAAAATAATAATATAATAATAAATTTAATTCAATAATATAATCAAACCAAAAACACTGAAATTTGAAATGTAGCAGCAAGTTCGGCCATCACTGACCAAAGTCGCAAAATCGTTTTCAGTGTCTGATGACGAATTTCCCCAACGAATCATTATCACTCAATTCTGCAAGTGGTTCTAATTTACTATCGCTGTTCTCTAGCCGGTCTAAAACCCGCTTTTGACCTAAAGGGACGCTTTTTGGATGCCATGGACGTTTCTCAGTTTCCAGGCAGAAAGAACAGTAAAAATGCAGGCAGGGCACAGGACAGAGCACTCGGGACAAAATGTATGTGAAATGCTTTGATACAGTAATGTTATACTATGTGATTAGTGAATTTAGTGAATCTCACTTTTTGTCATTTTCAAATTTCCCGCCAGTTCCGTCCCCCGTACGTCCCGACGCTCGAAGAGGACGGAACCCAGAAGACAGATGCCGGCATCTGCCAGAGGACACTGCAGGAGGGACATCGTGGCAGCACAGGACAAGCTAAGTGAAGAACAGATCCCGGAGCAGCACCGCATGGTAAGCCCGAGTGTAGCTCGGGGTTACCGCTTTTGGTACTGAAACTTTACCCCGAGCTACACTCAGGAATACCGCCAGGGAGGCTACACTGCTACTCCAATGGTATCTCACCCCATTACCTCTGACTAAAATATATCCATCACACTCTCCACAATGCTAGAGACAATGGGAGGAAAAAGGATCCCTCCTCCACATTGTCTGGTCCTGTAAATCAATCAGATCCTTCTGGAATAACACCTTTATAATCATTTCAGAAATAACAGGCACCATAGTACAACCCAACCCAGTACTAGCTTTACTTCATATTGACATAGACAAATTCTCCCCAGAATTACGTAGCATTAATATACAAATCCTATACGCAGCCAAAAACAATATCACAACCCTATGGAAGTCTACAACCTCCCCATCAATAAGTAGAGTAATTTTTAACCTGAACATCCAATGTGACATGGAAAGGAGATTTGCTATATCCCACTTTTCCTACCACAAATTTTACAGATCCTGGCACTTGTGGTCTCTTTACTCCAATTGTACAGTTTAGATTTGATATCACTCACCATCGAGAATACAAAGTTACCCCCGTTACCCACCTATATATTTACACTGTGACTGGTATTGTTAATTTGTTCTCTTCCTTTTCAATTACTTGTCTCTCTCCCCTTTCCCATATCTCCCTCCCTCCTTACTATCCCCCCTCCCTCTCCCCTTCCCCTCCTCCTTCAGGATCCAGATGTACTTACCTACCAAGATTAAAGTACTATTTCCAAAAGTATCTCATAGAATAAAATCCTTGCAAGATAAATTTAAAGGTTACATTCACCTTGCGGGTAAAAAAATGTGTATTTATTATTTTCTTTCTCAAGAGCCTGCAGAGCATTGGATCAGTGGATCGCGGGGTGGAATGTCAGGCTCCTGCAGACTCTCCCTCTAGCTTTTTGTTCATACATTTGCATGGGCTTTCAATTACAAAGCTGGAGAAAAAGTGAAAAGACTACAAGAGAGCTTCATCAGACTCTCTGTTTAATGATGCAGCTTTGTGTACAGAGGGCACGCTAATGCAGTGGTTCTCAACCTGTGGGTGGACCCCTTTGGGGGTCGAACGACTTTTCACAGGGGTCCCCTAAGACCATCAGAAAACACATATTTCTGATGTGTGCAGCTATGTGTAGAAAGCAGCTACTCTGTTAAAAGCAGCTTGTTGAAAGCAGCAGTATTGGAGGTAAACGACATAGTAAATTATAATTACTGGGTAAATAATTTTATGGTTGGGGGTCCCACAACATGAGGAACTGTATTAAAGGGTCACGGCATTAGGAAGGTTGAGAACCATTCTAATCCCCCTATAGCAAATGGCTTCCCTTTTCATGGCCCCCCACTTGCTTGGCATTTCATTCACCCTTTTTTGAGTAATTACATCCCCCTCTGAATAGTGAAAAGGGCAATTCGTCATGATCTCCCCCATTCAATAGAGAATGCTTTGTATTAACTGAAAAAAATGCATGGATCTGTAATTCAGTGCCCCCCCATAGTAATTCATCCCCCCTATAGTAATTCCCCCATAGTAATTCATCCCCCATATAGTAATTCATCCCCCCATATAGTAATTCATCCCCCATATAGTAATTCATCCCCCACATATTAATTCATCCCCCATATTATATTAATTCATATCCCATAATTCATCCCCCATATTAATTCATCCCCCATATAGTAATTCTCCCCCATATAGTAAGTTCCATATAGTAATTCATTCCCCATATAGTAAGTCCTCCATATAGTAATTCATTCCCCATATAGTAAGTCCCCCATATAGTAATTCATTCCCCATATAGTAAGTCCTCCATATAGTAATTCATTCCCCATATAGTAAGTCCCCCATATAGTAATTCATTCCCCATATAGTAAGTCCTCCATATAGTAATTAATTCCCCATATAGTAAGTCCCCCATATAGTAATTCATCCCCCATATAGTAAGTCCTCCATATAGTAATTCATTCCCCATATAGTAAGTCCTCCATATAGTAATTCATTCCCCATATAGTAAGTCCCCCATATAGTAAGTCCTCCATATAGTAATTCATTCCCCATATAGTAAGTCCCCCATATAGTAATTCATTCCCCATATAGTAAGTCCCCCTATAGTAATTCATCCCCCATATAGTAAGTCCCCCATATAGTAAGTCCCCCCCCTGTGTCAATTCACTTACCTTTGGTCCGCGCGTTCCTCTCGTATTCCCGCGCCGTTCTGGTCTTCAGGGAGGACTGTGAGAGGAGTTCGTCACGCTGCCCCCCGCCTACATCCTGGCTGCCCCGCCTACATCCTGACAGCTGCAGAGTCCTGACGTCCGAGAGGAGGGAGGGGGGCGGCCATCCGAGAGGGGGGGCGGCCATCCGAGAGGAGAGGAGGGGAGAGGAGGGGAGGGGAGCGGTGCGCCCGGCACACAGGAGAGCCGCATCTAAATTTGTAAAGAGCCGCGGCTTGCCGACCACTGGCCTTGCGGGAGCCTAGCTCCGCGGGCCGGATTAAAAGGTCCGCCGGGCCGTATACGGCCCGCGGGCCGTAGTTTGCCCATTGCTGCTCTAGCTTTTTGTTCATACATTTGCATGGGCTTTCAATTACAAAGCTGGAGAAAAAGTGAAAAGACTACAAGAGAGCTTCATCAGACTCTCTGTGCATTAATGATGCAGCTTTGTGTACAGAACCACAATCTAATGCAGTGGTTCTCAACCTGTGGGTCGCGACCCCTTTGGGGGTCGAACGACCTTTTCACAGGGGTCCCCTAAGACCATCAGAAAACACATATTTCTGATGTGTAAAGAGCAGCTACTGTGTAGAAAGCAGCTACTCTGTTAAAAGCAGCTTGTTGAAAGCAGCAGTATTGGAGGTAAAACGACACTCATGAATTATAATTACTGGGTAAATAATTTTATGGTTGGGGGTCACCACAACATGAGGAACTGTATTAAAGGGTCACGGCATTAGGAAGGTTGAGAACCACTGATCTAATGGGTCCTGTAGCAAATGGCTTCCCTTTTGCACACTGACCGCAGGTGGCCACTTGCTTGGCATTGCTGCCATTCACAGAATGCCTTTTTTGAGTGAATACAAGCGTTTCTCTGAATAGAGAAGGTGAAAAGGGCAATGACGTCATGATCTCCACCTCATTCAATCAGAGAATGCTTTGTATTAACTGAAAAAAATGCATGGAGTTCTGTGGATGGTGGCAGTGCTCAGCACACAGTGTGGCAGCCATTCAACACTGGAAGTTCTCAGTGAACACTGTAGTAGCGCCGACAACTACATTGCAGCTACCACAATGGTCCTTAGGTATGAGAAACGCATCCTGACATTGCTGGATCAATGCAATGCAGCTTATACCTGGAGTTCAACTTTTTTTTTTCCTAGGGATCTTAGATTGTACACTCCTTGGGAGTTAGGGACTGATGTGAATGTACTATATATACAGTTGTGTTCAAAATAATAGCAGTCAGACATCACTAACCTGATCAATCACTGTTTTTGGTAGAAATGATATTTCTACATGGCAAATAATTTACTAGCAGGTGTAGTAGAGTAATAGAAATCCAACAGACCCAACAGTCATGACATGCATGCTGCTGATTCTGTGTAATTGAATCACTAATTGAAAGGGGCATGTTCAAAATAATAGCAGTGTGGAGTTCTATTAGTGAGGTCATTCATTCTTTGAAAAACAGGTGGCAATTATTGCCCTTATTTAAGGAAGGAAGGCAGCAAATGTTGTACATGCTGGTTACAGTGCATTTCTCTCTGAAATTCTGAGGAAAATGGGTTGTTCCAGACATTGTTCAGAAGAACAGCTTACCTTGATTAAAAAGTTGATTGGAGAGGGGAGAATATATACAAGTGCAGAAAATGATAGGCTGCTCAGCTAAAATGATCGCAAATGCTTTAAAATGGCAACCAAAACCTGAAAGACGTGGAAGAAAGTGAAAAACTACCATTTGAATGGATAGAAGAATAGCCAAAATGGCACGGACTCAGCCAACAATCAGCTCCAGGAAGATCAAAGAAGGTGTAAAGTTACCTGTGAGCACTGTTACAATTAGAAGACGCCTATGTGAAGCCAAGCTATCTGCAAGAAGCCCCCGCAAAGTCCCACTGTTGGAAAAAAGATGTGCTGAACAGCTATAACAGCTTCAACTCTTCTGGGAAGGCTGTCCACAAGGTTTAGGAGGGTGTCTATGGGAATGTTTGACCATTCTTCCAGAAGTGCATTTATGAGATCGAGCACTGATGGGGGATGAGAAGGCCTGGCTCGCAGTCTCTGCTCTAATTCATCCCAAAGGTGTTCTATCAGGTTGATGTCAGGACTCTGTGCAGGTCAGTCAAGTTCCTCCACCCCAAACTCACTCATACATGTCTTTATGGACCTTGCTTTGTGCACTGGTGCGCAGTCATGTTGGAATAGCAAGGGGCCATCCCCAAACTGTTCCCACAAAGTTGGGAGCATGAAATTGTCCAAAATGTCTTGGTATGCTTTAGTTTTGCATGCACAATTTTAAGGCTTAAGAGTTCCCTTCACTGGAACTAAGGGGCCGAGTCCAATCCCTAATGGCCAACCCCACACCATAATCCTCCCTCCACCAAACTTTACACTTGGCACAATGCAGTCAGGCAAGTACCGTTCTCCTGGCAACCGCCAAATGCAGACACGTCCATTGGATTTCCAGACAAATAAGTGTTACTGGTCACTCCAGAGAACACTTCTCCATTGCTCTAGAGTCCAGTGGCGGCATGCTTTACAGCACTGCATCCGACGCTTTGCATTGCACTTGGTGATGTAAGGCTTGGATGCAGCTGCGCAGCCATGGAAACCCATTCCATGAAGCTCTCTACACACTGTTGTTGTTCTAATCTGAAGGCCACATGAAGTTTGGAGGTCTTTAGCTATTGACTCTGCAGACAGTTGGTGACTTCTGCGCACTGTGCTCTTCAGCATGCGCTGACCCCACTCTGTCATTTTACGTGGCCTACCACTTGGTGGCTGAGTTGCTGTTGTTCCCAGTTTGTTCCATTTTGTTATAATACCACTAACAGTTGACC